CACATGTTCTGCTTAGCTAGATAATAAAGTGGCAAACACGCGGCACCACTGACATCACAGGACAGTTGCCTATAAAACTAGACTTCTGACGCTGGGCTCCAGCTTCGTTTTCTCACAGATCGTCATCCTCGTCCGGGAGAGCAGTTGTCTGCGCAACCTAGCAGGAGAGCGAACAGGAGTTAGAATATGTCAAAATCACCACCATTAGGAAAGTAGCATGCCAGACAGAAACTCCAATGTGGTACCTCTAAATCGTGCTCATATTGTGCTGCCAAAGCTGGGTCCATGACAACTTCTGGTGGGGCAAGAGCAGGCATGGCAACAAACTCCAAGTTAGGGTCTCCAATTAGTTTTCTAGCAAGCCAAAGGAAAGGCTTTTCAAAGTTGTAGTTACTTTTGGCAGAAATATCGTAGTACTGTTTTTAAAAAAACAATAAAAGTTCAGGTTAAAAACCAATTCTAAAACATTCCAAGCTAGTAAACAAAAGATTCAATCCATACTAAAAGACACATAAAACTGTGTCACAGCTCTGTGTATTTAACGTAAGAATCACAAGAGCTGCAAGTTGTAGGAGACGTACCTGAAGATTCTTCTTTCGGTGGAAAACGATGGATTTTGCCTTAACTTTCCTGTCCTTAATGTCCACTTTATTGCCACACAACACAATGGGGATGTTTTCACATACTCGAACCAGATCTCTATGCCAGTTAGGCACGTTCTTGTAGGTAACTCTCGATGTTACATCAAACATTATAATGGCACACTGGGCTGAACGAAAAATTGGTCATTAGTCCACACCTAGGAGTTTAATGCATAAGAGGTTGTGCTGCTAAAGGCAGTTCAAAGCCACCAACAGCTCTTCAGAAGAAAAATGGGGAATCCCCTCCCATGTGATTTACAGCCTCAGAAAACCCACTAGACAATCAGTTCAGATGGCAATGAAGAGTCATAAGTGAATAAGGAGTTTACTGCGCGGGAAGAAACCCTTCAAGGCCTCTGGTCAAAATAAAGAGTATCCTCTCAGGTCTATTCTGGCTATTTCGTTCAATTCTAAAATAACTGTAATTAAAGGGGGATTTTTAATTGAGAAGACTTTATATGTGGATTTGTACACACTTAAGGGCAGTAATGGAAGGATTCCCAACAATTTTGTATCAGGAAGCAACTACCTCTTTGCTCATCTTTATTCGGTGCCACAACAAGCATTTATAATTCCTAAAACCCTTTGGAGAAAATAAACTAGTTGGCCTTAGACAACAGACACAGATGACAATCCTCTTTCAAGATGTGCTCAGTGTCAAAGGATAAACGTGATAAAATAACCCTTGATAACCACCAAAATATACACCCATACTCAAGTTTCCAAATGCACAAGGTGCAAGAGATGCTTGTCTATGACATCTTAGGTTTTTAAATGGTGAATTTTAGGACCGTCATACACCATCACCCTAACACATGGACTCTTGAACAGCCCAAGACAACTTCCTAACATCTCCCCAGTACAAATGACGGTCAAATGTCTGCAGGCCACATGTCTTTTTAACACCATGATACGCAATACTCAGAACATGAAAAATTACTTGGACTAAACCCTGGATACTGAAATATCCAACCTCACTCATGTCATAAAGGAGATACCCACCTTGGATATAATAGCCATCCCTCAGTCCCCCAAATTTTTCTTGGCCAGCTGTATCCCACACATTGAATTTAATCGGTCCTCTGTTGGTGTGGAACACGAGAGGATGGACCTCCACACCCAAGGTGGCTGGAACAGAAACATTTCCCCATTAAACACATCAACGCCCCTGCTTCACCAGTTTCCTCCAGCCCCTCTCTGCCCCACGTACCTACATACTTCTTCTCGAATTCACCAGTCAGGTGACGTTTCACGAACGTCGTTTTGCCAGTACCACCATCACCCACCAACACGAGCTGTTGGGACACCAAAGTAGCTGGGAAAATCTCTGGGGGTCATTTTAACAGGGGGGTACTAATGGGGGGGGACCCTTGACCATGACCGGCCCCTCTGGATCCAAGCGATGCCAGCAAATTATAGCAACTTTGGTAAAAAAAATGTCCAACCCCCACTCCATCCCAAATGGGGGTCAACTCCTTGGAGGCTGCGAGTCCTTTTTAAACACAAGGATTATGTAATCCCGGGACGGGCAGTCGTGTTAAGTTCCCTCCTCTCTAAAATAGGGTCAGCACCTCGCTCGAGGGTCGCTGGGCGTCGGGAGTGGACAGCACGGCAGGAGATCGGGATTTTGGGGTGATCGCGAGTTACTAGAACTGTAAGGCTCTTGGTATCTCGGGGACCCCCTCCGCCCGCCCCTCGGACAGCACCTCCCCTCCACGGCGCTCACGTACTTTGAACTGGACTTGGGGTTCTCCTTGGGCGGCCATCGTGATGGTTCTGCAAAGCAAGGACGGACTGGTGACCCGGCCGCCCGCCGCCACATGGCCGGCCCGCCCCAGCCGTCCCGGGCCCACGTGCGCCGCGGCCACAAAGGCCGGCTGCCCATTCATCCCGGGCCGCGCCCTCCCGCGAGTGGGGGTGCCGGGCGCCATGGCGGCCTTGCCGATCCGCCGGCGCCCGCCCGGCCTGCTGGGCGGAGCGGCGCGGCCGGGGCTGCTCGGTCACCGCATCGCCGCGCAGCCCGCACCCCCGGGGCCGCCCCGCACCCTGCCGCCGCCTGCAGGCGAGACGGCAGAGCGGACCCCGGGCCTCGGCGGCGAGAAGGAAAGCGCGCCAAGCGGGCGGCCGCTCGTCCGCCCGCATGCCTCCGCTCCGGCGCTAACCGCCATCAGGCCCGCGCCGCCGGCCACCCGCGACCTCTCAGCCCGCCGTCCCACTGTGACCTCGGCCCTCTGCGGCCAACCGAGGCCCCTGCCCGCCGCTCTGCCCGCCGCCCGCCGGTACCTTCCAGAAGCGTCTCTGGGCCCCGTCTGACTGAGGGATGGAAAGATGGCGGAAGCGCAATTCAAATGCCCGGAGACGCAGCCGACGCCGGCGCGCGCGCAGGGCGGGGCAACGACGTGACGCGCTCCCACGCGGCTCCGACGGGAGCGCGCACGCACGCAAGCAGCGCGGGAGGGCGCCCCTTTGCCGAGTGCGTAGGGCGGAGCTGGCAGCGCGCGGGTTGGACGTGCGCGCTCCCGCCGGGACGCGAGGCCTCAGAGCCCGCTCGGCTCAAGGCCGCATGCGCCGACGAGCTCTTGGCGCGCCCTCTCCCCCCCCCCCAACTACAGTGACTCAGAAGCGGAGGCCCGGCCACGTGCCTGCGCGGGAAACCCGGGGCGCGGCCTGGCCACGCGAGCCGGGGTGCTCAGGGCTTGGGAGACTCGGTGCCTTCCCAGGCGGGCCAGTTCCGGCATGGGCACGATGTATGCAGAAGGGCTTCGCGGGTCCAGGACGTGGGGGCATCCTCCCTTGTCCCCTTACCCGCTTCTCCCGGCCTTTCCTTCCATCACGTGCTCCCTGCAATGTGCGCGGGCCTTTGCAGGAACCTCAAGTACTTGTAGAATAAATGGATCGTTCAGTCCGAAAACAAAATCCGAAAATTAAGTGCCTAGAGGTGGGCCTCTAGCAACTCCACAGGCCAGAGTTGTATAGTCCCCTGCCATTTCCAAAGTTTTAATCTTCACAGGTTTAGACTGCCCAGTCTTTCTCCGCTCACCTTTTAATGGAACGTTTTGACCACTGTACCACCAGGAGTCCAAATAAATTATAAACCAAACACGATTTAAATTCCCATGCCGTCCAGTCGGTGGTGACAGCAGAGCTGGGCTTACTGGTCTCTCCACTGGGTTTTCATAACCTATCTTTCTGAAAACCACTGTTTGGTGCCATTGTAAGATGCCTGTTAAGGCCACACCCATTTCCTACTCTGAAGTCACTCAAATGATGGTCTTAGAGCCCAGACTGACTTAGATAGTTGGCCCTTCAGTGAGTTTCTGAGACTAAATCACGCTGAGCCACTGATGGATTCGAATCGCCAAAAACTCGTGACTTTTGGGTTAGCAAAGCAATTCTCTATGCACATTGCCATCAGAGATCCTTCACCCTCTTCTTTGTTGCAGAAACAGATTTCTGTTACAAAGTGCTCTGCTGAGCCTGAGCCCAGCACCTAGCCTGCACCAGCTTAAACTGATGCTAACCAGTTCCAGCCCAAGATGCCAGTACAGAAAGGATTCACTTGTCCTGGAGAGAACCTTACGGCAGGGGAAAACTTAATGACACGTCGTCCTCGGGAGACTCCATGTGGCGAACATGCAGGCCTGGCAATTGGCGAAATGAACCCACTTCATTGGAAAACTAGCATACAAGGTAGGCCCCCCAAATGTTAATGTGTATGATTGTGTGTTATGTCCTGGTTTAAGACAGCTCACATCATTGCCTTCCATTCCCGCACATAGAGCTCTGGTGGCCTAGTGGCAAGAAGGTATACTACAATCTCAGAGGTGCCTGGTTCAAATCCA